AAAGAAAAAAAAAAAAATATATATATATATATTTATATATATATATATATATATTTATAATCAATATGAATTATATATTGGAAAAAAAAAAATATATATATATATATATATATATATATATATATATATATATATAAATATTATCTAGTTTTATATGTTTTTTTTTTTTTCGAAACATTTTTTTTATGCAGTTCATATTTATATTTCTTTATTTCTATTTTTTTTATATTAATAGTCTAAAAAAATAAAATGGAATCATATATTATATTCATTTAATAAAAAAAAAATATTTCTTTTAAATAATCATTAGAAGATAAGTTTATTTAAAAATTCAATTTTTAAATTTTATTATTAATAAGAATATATAAAAGAGGCAATATATATTATTGATATTATTAAAAATATATATTTATTTAATTAAAAAAAAAAAAATCTTATATTTAATATACTTAAATACATATTTATATTAATATTTTAATTTATTTTGTTAAAATACTATTTCTAATATTATTAATTATTTTAATTAAAAAATAATAATACATACATAAAAATAAATATAATAGGTAAATATTATGATCATATAAATAATTTAAATATTATATATATTAATTTAAATAATTTAATATAAAAAATTTAAATAACTTTAAATGTTTATAAAATGATTATATAAATTTAAAGTTTATTGATATAATAAAAAAATGATATATTACATTAAAATATATTTAATTTAATTATATATTATCATTAAATAATTTTTTTATATAAATATTTAATATTTATATTTATTTATATATAATAAAAAGATTTTTTAAATAAATTTTTGATATTTTATTGTCTAATAATTATTTTATTTTAAAAATTTTATATGATTAAAGAGAAAAAAAATGTTAATAATATATTTAATTTTATAAAAGAATAAAATTATAAAACTTATTAAAATAATTTATATTAAATAAAAAATAAAAATAAAATTAAAATAAAATAAAATTTTAGTTTAATAAAATATTTATATATATTTTTTTTATTATTTTAAAAAAATAGTAAAAATAAATATATGAATATATCAAAAATATAAAAATAATTATTAATAACAATATAATAAAAATAGATATAAATTAGAAAAAAAAATAATATTAACAAAAATCAAATAGAAAATTATATTAATTATTAAATTTTAATTTTTTTTTATTAATATTTTTATTTAATTATTAATATTACTATTATTATTATTATTATTATTATTATTATTATTATTATTATTATTTATA